TATATATATATATATATATATATATATATATAAGTGTAGACAAAATAATTAATGATAATTTTCTGCTTATTTTTTATTTAATTATAAATATTTTTTTATAACTTCAAAAAGCCAACAGCAGAGAAGATACTAACAGGGCATACAAAAATAAAACACCAACTAACAAAACACCAACTATACAGATGCCTCCCTTTGCTAAGGCCCAAAATAACCAAAAACAACATCAATTCAAAAAAGCTCAAAACACCTCAACCCCAAGAGATCTCTACTGAAAGCCCAACTGGGTTCCTAGAGATCAAACCATCCTCACTGAAGCAGCCCGAAACCCAAGCTCAACATATGTCATTATAAATATCAACTGTTACGTTGTGCATTAATTTAGTGTAATAATCTATTTTTAACTTATTTTTATTATATAATAATTATCACAACTAATAATTTCGCACTAAAAGTTTGTGAAAGTTATACGTTTATAAAAATATAAGAAAAATTATAGCTATTTTTTTCTTCATGTTATTTATTTTATATATAATAATTATCATTTTATTTTATATTTTCTTTTAGTAGCTAATTGGATTTTAATAGAATAACAAACCCATTAGAATTGAATAAACAACAACAACAACAACAACAACAACAACAACAACAACAATAATAATAATAATAATAATAATAATTCAACTAACTAATTGACGACGGTCCCTTAAATTTGTAACAATTACATTTTCATGATATTTGAGGCCATTTTATAATGACATAAAAATACATGTCATATTATTTATTTTAGATGTAGTCATTATATTAGTTATCGTTGTCGTTTGAAGTAGCAATAGTGACAAATTTTTTTTCCTACCAACACAAATAAAATGGCACCAAATTTCTAGCGACATTGTTAGTAACAATAATCAAAATTGTCACTAATATTCACCACTCTCAATCTATAGTGACAATGGATAAAATTATCACAACAGACATATTTTCAGCGACAATATTTGTACTATTACTAATTTTTTCATCAGTACATGTGTTATTTCTTGTAGTGATCTATAAGAGAAGTAATTTATAAGTTATATTTATATTTACCTACGACCAAAAATTTATAAGATATGATATCCATATTAATATCTTAGAGTTATAAAATTAGTATTATACATATGACCAATATTATTTTTATTCGCATTTTTGCATATGCACAATTTTGAGTACTAGTTAATATAACCCCTTATCAAAGGTCTTAAACATTAGAACTTGACCAGAAAAAGTGTTTGTATATGAAAATACTCGATCCATACACAATTCATACTCAAAATCTAACCCAAATTTAACCGAACCCCACTACTTGCAATATGATGAATATATTTAATAATATCAACCGCATCACATCAACTTTGATTTATAATTCATCAACTCACATAATTTTAATTAACTATCAAATTTACAATTCTAACTCACATAATTTTAATTAACTATCAATTAACACTATCTCTATCCTATTTTCTATCAAATCAAAATCTCACTAACAATCATATAACTTTTTCTAAATTCAACTCTAGTTAACCAAAAAAAAAATCATTTGAGTGGGTATATCTGTATATGAACATGCCCTATTGACTGACTGGGGTAATCCTATCACTAACCATGTAAAAAATCTTACATATGAAATTTTGGCAGTAAAGTGATGCATCATACAACGTAACATAGTAGTTTTGGCAGTAGAGTGATGCATCATTTGAGTGATGCATCAGATGAGCCTTCCACTCTATGCTTTATGTTTATTTCATCTTCTTCTAGACCAATAACTGGCAAAGATACTCAAACCACCACAAGCTCGTAGTTTTCTGGAGAACACAAAAACTAATGTACAAGGGCTGCATGGAGTACACCTTTCAAGTTAACACATACTTTTAACCCATCAATACTACCGACTATTTAACAGAGTAAGCACTTCTGTAGGAAATAATTGATCATCATATCGTGGTATATAGAAGAGACTCTCGTCTTGTAAAAGCCCCAATTTTTCCAGATAACCAGTTATAGCATGATGCCTTTCGAGCAAGCCGTTATGAGAATAATCGAACACCTAACCCGAGGAACCTACTATTTGCAAATTACGTTGTTCCAGCCTTTGCAGCCATAAATCCAAGTTCATTACTATCTTTCACCCTCTTAATTTGCAAAGAACCAATTAACGGGAACTGCAAAGGATAACAAGCAAATTTGCCACTCCAATGACAAAAAACACAACACTTCCGTATCGGAATATCCTTTCTGATTCGGTCACAGTTGCACAGTGATTTGAATGAAGCTCACAATTTGACTACTAGCTGACAACTAAACTCAACAGTGTTATACACATGTATCCGAATATAATGCAGTTCATCAAGATTTGGATGTAAAAACTCGAGACAACATGCCTTACCATGATCATCAATGCAATTACATCCAAGTAACATCCATCTTTATATATGCCGGTCATTTGATATCCTCTCCCAAAATCAAAAGCTTTTCCACATAAAGGCACCGCTTTTGGGTTTTTCCATTATACAGCATTTCCGAAGATTTTAATGAGCACATGACATACAAGAAATCAAGAATCTTCAGCCCTCAGTTCACTTGTTTTTGGGTTTCATGAGTTCCCAGAAAACAGCAGTCAGTGTGTCGCTGTGAAGGCAAACAGAACAAAGCTAAGGATGATGCATTGAACAGTACAACATTTGACCACGACGAAATCATTACAGAGCTCACAACTGAACACAAAGTTCCACAAGAGGAATCAAGTTCGTTCAGCAAATAAACCAGCAGCAAGATTTTACACACATCTGAAGAAGAAGCACGCTGCAATTTTAGAAGTTCATTCGCCAAATGGGTTCTATCTTAACAGTCAACAGTTATATTTAATTTCTGCACAGTGCCCATAATAATAACATAAAATCACTCATCAGCGAGATTTTGAGCAGACTATCCACATGCATTCAATAAAAGATTTTTGAAGGGGATGCAAAGGGTATCTCGCAAGATCAAGATCCATCCAATCAAGAAATCCAAAACTACTGTGACTATATATGACTTGAGGTTTGAACTCAAAAGCTAGAAGATTCATCACTTGATGTTCAACCTCGATCCCAGTTATGCAAAACCACAGAGACCATTAAGACCATTTTTAACAGCATTTGGAACTCCAGTCCGCGCAGATTTGTGTACATTCATCAGCTCGGTTATCCTTATTTTTTATTAAATCCAACTCATATATTAGCTCAACGTCACGCCATACTCAAGATAATCCGTGACTTAACAGCATTTGGAACTCCAGTCCGCGCAGATTTGTGTACATTCATCAGCTCGGTTATCCTTATTTTTTATTAAATCCAACTCATATATTAGCTCAACGTCACGACAGACTCAAGATAATACGTGACTTATCCCCATACCCAAGTGTAGAAAAATGAACCTAGGAACTCGGAAGAAAAAAATGTTACCAAAAGAACACAACACCAGCAGTTTAAACCAGAAAAGAAAAACCATGAGAAGAAAAAGCTTTACGAGTCTCCATAAAGTTGATTGTAATGAGTCTTATGATAATTTGGTCGGAAATCCATAAGAGTCCGACCACAACGACCGAATTGATTATCTTAATCAATTATGTTGTACGACAATAAGAGAAGAAAGATAAAGCAAACAAAGTTTAGACTCTAACTTATATCTTCCTTTAATTAATCCGAACTTAAATGAGACAACAATGACATAAAAACTAAATCGAAGAAAAAAAAACTAGCCCACATCTATTCTACTTTCTATTTGAGGGATTTTCCCGACAAAATATAAATCTTGATAATTGACTAGAAAGCACAACTTGAATATGATGAGACAGAAGTCCTCCTACAAATATAATACATGTAAAATGACCTCAGCCACGAAGTTCTTGAATTGTAGAGCGCAAGACGTCATCCCCAACAACTGCCCTTAATTGCTTCATGAACGCATTTCTACCCAACTTTCCTTCCTGCAAAGGGACAGTAAATTAACACTGGCACATACAAACAACAAAAGATAAAAAGAACTCACCAGTAGGCAGCTGGTAAAAAGAACATAAATCTCACCTTAAATGATACCCATAAAGTTTGCAACTCTTTAAGCTGGGGAAGAGGACAAGAATCTTTCAGATTGGAGAATAATTTCGCAATAAATACAGATGGGAGGATAATCCTATTTGCATTAGGCTTCACTGACCCTAACAAACCAAAACGAGAGAAGGAAAAAGTTAATGAACCCCATAGTTCTGAACACCCCAATTTTGTTCAAACTAAGTTGCTCGTTAAAAAAAATCTTTGTTACCCGGCGACTTTACAGGCCTGTAGCTGAGCACACACTCCGGCATAATATGAGTGTTCATGTTGGCATGCCACACTGTATACAACCTAGGGTTTTTCAAGTCATCAACACCAGTATCATAATCCATACTCGAAGGATATGACTGCTGAGATCCTGCTTCAACTTCCTCGCATTTCCCCAATATGACTCTGCATAAAACGACATGCTTCTCACCGTTCTCGTCAATATCTGACAGCGTTGCACTGCACGACATCCAGAAAACAAACAAATTCAACTAATAAAAATAAGAACTTTCAAGTTCATCTTCATTAGGAAACAGATATCAAAGCACAGAGAGAATATGGAAATCCCAAATGCTGAGCCTCAACAATTACAATCCCATAGCTAACATACCTATTTTCAGGAGATCTAATTGGAGACAAGTGAACCCCAATGCCATGACCTTCAGAACAAGATACCACACTAGGTACTCCAAAACCATGCTTCAAGATGCTCTCTACACCCTTGGCCGACGTGCCATACCATGCAAAAACCATGTTACTTTGCCCTCTAGCTTTCTTTGTAATCTCCAATTGCTTCAAGAAAACCTCATGTCGTGCCTTATCCAAGGGCTCCAGCCTCACACATTGGTGGATAGAGGTAACGGTCGCACCAGGCTCAACGGCAGACAATCCCGAAAGAAACAAATTCTTAAGTATTGAATAACCTTTCTGCTCAGGCGCCATAATCCTAGTCTTGGGCCACCTAGCCGACTGTGATTCGCTCCCATGAAGCTGCCTCTTCACATTAGAGCTGGAAAAACTCTCCTCCAATTTGACATTCTCCACATCCCCCTCTCTCTTCCTCTTACTTGATTTCACAGCTTTAGTCCTCTTCAAATCCTTGGAACTTCCTGAATTTGTAGTAACTCTGATTTCTATCTGAATTTTCGGGAGCTTTTCACAGTTATCCAGCAATTCATTCTCGTCATCCTTCTCATAGCTATTCACGAAGAATTTGGGGAAGAAACACTTAGCCTCGGTATCAATCCAAGCAATCGACCGCTGATTTCCGCTGTACAAGTCAATTTCCAGCATCCGATAGAAGTCAAAGAAGCAATTCGACCCGAGAGCTTGGGCCTCAATCGCCGGCTTACCCTGTAAAAACCCTAATCTCATCACCTCCACCACTTCAATCGGGTAATCGACCCACGATCCGCCGTCGTAGAACATGACCCTCTCCGGGCACGAGCTCCGCTTGAAGTTGGAGTAGTTATGAATCAAGGGCTCATAGGACGCTGCCGTCGGACATCGAGGGGCAACAACCCGCGAGCCGCCCTTCAACGCCGCACGCTTCTTCGTCATCATCTCGGAGATCAAGGAATTCATTGTGGAAGTAGTATAATTTGAGAAGCTCTGTGTACAATATCTCGACTGAATTGTGCAAGAACTTCTGAGAAAGAAAACCGGAAAAAATTGCCGCCCTATAGATATATAAGAGACGACTCTGCAAGTCGGTTGAGATTGAAATGACGATATAGCCCTTGTCGGAGCAGGTGCACCTAATATCTTGAAAGGGTAAGTTTGGCATTTCGTGAACATTACGGCAACTTGATCCGTAAGAAAGTATATTATAAAATAGGTAAAGGAGTACGTGGACAGGTTAATCACGTTTGGGAGGGATTTGCTTCTGCCCAAAGAAAACTTTGTGGGTAGTTATTATCGAGGCTTTAATAGTCAACGATTTTGACTTTTTCATCAATAATTCTAAAGCAATAAGTTGGCAACTTGGGGCAAAAATTACTTGGTTCATATTTTGTTTGGTCTTGTTATGTTGTACCGTGTGCGAGTTAAGTTTTGAGTTGAAACTACGGTTTTGATTCATCATCAATAGTAATATAGCATCTAAAATAGTTTGGTGAACTTACTAGAAGGGTTAAGCTCGGTCGTGGTCCAGAAGAGTTCATCCGAATTATTACATGCATCTCACAAGGAGTCCTCGTTTAGGCGGCTCAGATTCCAGGATGGCTCGATGGTCGGTAGATCAAGGAAGCCCGAATGCCGGAGAGACCCAAGTAGCTCGGAGGTCGGGATTAAGTGGTTGTGATTAATTCGTTTAATTATAAGAACAAGTTGAGCTCGAGTTTTTATGAGTCAAACCGAGTTGTGTTCGCAGACAGTTTTGTTCGAATAACAATTCAGTCTCCCACAAAAAAATTTTATAAGACCTAGATAAGACTTGTGCAGAGGTTGGGTTTGTGACCTCAAGACCTAGGAGTTGTACAACAAGAGGGGAAAGAATCCTTTATTGATAGAAAATATATATTGATAAGGATTATCCGATTCAGGAGATCTTGCTAGTTAAAAAAGTGGATACGAGAGGATCTCTTTCCCAACTAGGACCATCTTGACCATCAAATTACCCTAGATATATAAAGTATCCAGGTTCTTTACTTTACACAACACAAATATACACATAAGAATTTACATACATACTCTCAATTTTATCACGGACATACACAAACTTGATCGTCAAAGATTTTTCCGTTGGGACCCCTCCTGACTAGGGCTGACATTTTTTTATCAAATATCGAAAATCGAACCGAACCGAACCGAACCGCAAGAAAATAAATATAATTGTTCCGACTTATTGAATTGATTATCAGTTACCTATTTGCTATCGGTTTGGTATCGAACCATAAGGGTTCGCTTTTACCTAACCGAACCAATTAGGAAAAAAAAAATTAGAGGCCTTACAGTTACAGGTTACTTGTTTAGTAGTAATTTAGTTTAGTATTTAATATTTTATTAAACTATTAATTGATATATAGTTATTACATTAGGCCATTTTTTTTAATTATGTTAATTAAGAACGACCCTCTCTTTGTCACTCGTTAACAAAAACAAAAACAAAAATAAAGAAAAAATAATAAATAAAAAACAGTCTTTTTTTTTCAAAATAATGAATTAATTAAAAACTCAAACAAACGTCTTACAACTGTTCGACCAAATGATCGATAAGGCCTAAAATAAGAAGAAGCCCGAGAGAAGTAGTTGGTACAACCCTATCCGCAATACATCGAAACTACAACAACAAGGGATAACACAACTAGGCTATATATGCTAAACTCTAATGGCCTAATTTAACCTAGATCAACTGCAAATGTTCCTGCATCATCATCCTCTCTGTGTGGATCTTCAAGACAACCTTCCAAAGACCCTAAGGCACTAGCAGTTGGACTCTCTTTCCCTACCTTCTTGGAAAATTGGTCTTTGAAATGTTGTTTTGAAGACAGTTTGAACTTCACCATCTGAGCTTTACCCTCCTTGATGCTTAATATTTCCAGCCAATCAGAAAAAGTCTTCTCCATAATTTCTTTTGCCTCCCTATGAGTTCTGTTCCAAACCCATTCATTTCTAGTCTTCCAGATGTTCCATATTAAAAGGGCAGAGATGCTCATTCTCTCTGTTCTGAGGTGGTCTTCCTTGATTTTGCAAAGGTCCATCCACCAGCTTTGAAAGGTAACATTGTTATGCTGTAGGGAGTTCCAATGTAAACCTGAAAGCTTACAGCAAATTACAGCTCTAGGACAATAGAATAAAAGGTGTGCTACAGTTTCTTCAGCTTCTCCACACACTTCACATGTCCTGTCAGATATAATTCCTCTTTGAGCCAGATTGTCTTTTGAGCCAAGATAGTTGTTCCAACATATCCATATAAAATTTTTAACTCTGCCTTTAGTGGGAAGATGCCAGGAGATTTTCCACATGCTCTTTAATGCCTTTGGGTAGCCACTGGTTGTAGCCTCTGATAGTTTAGATTTTAAACAATTGAGCACTACTTTATAGACTTCTTTGACAGAAAATTGCCCATTCTTACTCCAATGCCAGATTAAGTGATCCCTGCCACCTTGAGGGTGTAAGGGAATATTTAAAATTAGCTTTGCATCCACAGGATTAAATGTTTTGAGAATAAGATCTTTATCCCAAGCCATGGTGTTATGACAGATAAGGTCCTTGACTCTACCCACCCTCTCTCTATCAGCTGCTAAAGGGACTCTAGGCTTAAAGGTTGAATTGTTGGGAATCCAGGTAGAATCCCATATTGAGACATCATGACCATTGCCTATTTTATACCTAGCCCCTAGATCTAAATATTTTCTAGCTCCCAACCAGCTCCTCCAGAGCCATGAATCACTCCCCTTAACCTTAACCTCACTCAGATTTTGATTCCTAAAGTATCTACCCTTCATCACTTTGCTCGTTAAAAGATTAGGTTTGGTGATAAGCCTCCAGAGTTGTTTGACTAAAAGGGCTTTATTATATGCCTGAAGATCTTTAAATCCCATCCCTCCCCTGTCTTTGGTCTGCACTAATCTCTCCCATCTAGCCCAGTGAACTCTATTAGCCCCATTTTCTTGCACTCCCCACCAAAAATTAGAGATGTCTCTACCTATGATATTCAATATCCCCACAGGCACCCTGAAACAAGAAAACGCATATGTGGGTAATGCAGACAAAACTGACTTAATGAAAATTTCTTTTCCTGATTCACTCAGATATTTATTCTTGGGTTAATTGCCATTTAAACCTTGACCTTTTCACTTTTGGCAATTTAATCCAAACTTCTAGATAAATGCAAAATAATACCAGACTTGTATTACTTTTGCAAAATTGACTTAAAACCCGTCGGACGGCGAAAATGTGCCAGCGTGTCCGGCTGGTTTTATCTACGTGTAATTTTGACTTTGCCTAGTAAGATTAAGTGAAATACGTGGATTTTTTCAAAAACCTGTATAAAAATGATTCCTTTCCCCAATTTCATCAAATTCCCAAATCGACGAACCCTAAATTACTTGAAAGAAACATTTTTCTTTCTTGCAGACGATAGCTCGCGCAAGGCACAATCGTGCTAGTGGAAGATGTCGTATTCATCTCGCGCAAGCCAGAGTTCAGGAAGCTTCAGTGTTCCTTCGAAGAAGCTCTGTGGCCATGGCGACGAAGCTGATGTGTTGACCTCCATGACATACGAGAATCCATGTAGAAGGTTCCATAGATGTCCTAAGAGGAAGGTGAGCTACGTATATTGTGTGAAAACCCTAATTTCTTCAAAATCCCTGAATTTTATAAACATAATTAATTAAAAACCCCAATTTCTTCAAAACCCCTAAATTTCAAAACCCTAATTTTTCGATTTACATTGTTTAGGAAGGGAAAGACTGCCGGTTTTTCGAGTGGATTGATCCCGCACTTCCTGAGTTCCAAAAATCTTGTTTTGTGCGATTGAAATCTAAGAACGAGTATTTGGAAGAGCAGCTGAGGAAGAAGGTTGCAGTGGAAAAAGATGAAATTGTGGACTGTGGTATTGATTTTGAACAAAAACTGAATGCTCTTGAGGTTGAAGTTCAGAAGAACAATGAAGTCTTGTTGGTTCTGAAAAATACATTAGAACTTATGCATAAATTGGAAAGGAAGCTGAATTTTGTGATAATTTGCTTGTTTGTGGTTATATTGATCGTTTTCCTTAGTTTGCTTGGGAAAAGTAGCCATAAGCAGGGGCCTAAAATGTTGCTTTGAATATTGTTCTGTTTTGTTTCATTTGGTGGATGTATTGAACTTAAGAACTAATGTAATCTATTGCTCTGTTTTATTTCATTTGGTGGATGTATTGAACTTAAGAGCTAATGTAATCTATTGTTGTGTTTTATGTAATTGTTATTGTCCTTTTATTTTGTTATGTTTTGCAATTTATATGAGACTGAGACACAGACTTAACATAACAAAATGACTTGAACCTGCTTACTTCCAAAACATCACATACTTGAAAATAACAAAACACTCCATCTAAAGAAGAAATCTGAGATGAACAACACTCCAAAATCTAAGTGACATTGACAAAGTTACATTCTTTTTAATTCAACAATCATTCTGTTTCCACAATTATTCTGTATTCAAAACATAACCCAACATAATTCAACAATCATTCTGTATTCAAAACATAACCCAACATAATTCAACATCATTACAATGACAAAGTTATCCATTTTGAGTGCCTAAACAGAAAGCAAAAGTTCTTCCATAGTTCAAAACTACTCCAAAAAACAACAACACTCCAAAAGTAAATCGAAGTCAATCATCTATAATTCAAAAGTACTCCAAAAATCAACAACAGGGCAAAAGAAGTCTAAGATAATCATCCTTTGCGAGAAACACTCTCTTGAGTGCCTAAAGCATCCTTAGTCTTCCTCCCCTTTTGTTGTTTCCCCTTTCCTCCAGTCTTACTAGAACCAACATCTCTATCAGAAATGACATGTACTCTTCTTTTTGATGTCAACTGCATTTATCAATCCAGCCATGAGATTGCAAAAAATGACAAGGATAAAAAAGAA